TGGTGGTGCGTTTTTGGCCGGAGAATTCGGGTCCCATCAGAAATCCAGGAAATATACTACCTCTAAGTAGCAATGCCTTGCTTGCTTGCTTGCTTGCTCCCTCTTGTGGCTCTCAGAGAGTGGCACACTTTCGACCCACCAGAGGAGCAATGGGGGGATGTGGGGAGAAGCCCGTTCCCCGAAATCTTCTCCTCCGCGGGGAATTGCTGGCCTTCAGTTCTCGGAGCTGAAGTAGAAGAATAGGAATAGAGAAAGAAGAATGGAATGGAATAGAATATAGAATGGAATGGAATGGAATGGAATTAGAAAGGAATGAATAGAATAGAATAGAATTAGAAAGGAATGAATAGAATAGAATAGAATAGAATAGAGAAGAGAAGAGAATAGAGAAGGGACCTTGGAGATCTGCTAGTCCAACCTCATGATTGTAAAATCCTAGAAACATGTGGCTGGAAGGTCATCTAGTCCAACCCCCTGCTCAGTCAGGAAGCTCTATCCCGTCTCAAACTGGTGGCTGTCCAGCCTCTTCTTGAAAGCCTCCAGTGTGGGAGCAGCCACAGCTTCTGAAAGCAACTTGTTCCTCCGATTAATTGTTCTAATTGTCAGGAAGTTTCTCCTCATTTCCAGGCTGGATCTAACGGAATCATAGAATTCTAGGGTTGGGAGGGGCCTTGGAGGTCTTCTAGTCCAACCCCCGATCAAGGCAGGAGAACTGATGTCCCCCCAGTTCAATGGCTGTCCAGTCTCTTTTGGGGAACCTCCAATGAGGGAGCACCCACAATCCCTGAAGGGAAGTCACCCCACTGGTGGATTGTCCTCACGGTGAGGAATTTATTTTTCTTCATTCCAGGCGGCTCCTCTCCTTGGTTAGTCTCCCTCCGTTGCTGCTTCTCCTGCCTTCGGGGGCTTTGGGGAATATGTTGACCCCCTTCCTCCTCCTCTCTGTGGAAGCCCCTCAAGTACTGGAAGATAGCTCTCATGTCCCCCCTCCTAAGCTTTCTTTTCGTTAGACTAGCCCTATCTTTCCTATCATCCTTTTCTCAGGACTAGCCGTCAGTCCAAAGGCCAGTAGTAAAACGACTCCTCGGTGGGACATTACTGGTTCAGGGAGCGATTTTGGGGCGGCCATTTTAGACGCTGTGATCCTTTCGCGGTGATTTTTCTAAGGATACTATAAAGCATAAAAACCAGTTAGTCTACAATCCGAGGTTGTGTTGCGTTTTACTTCTTCGGAGTTTTGGTGCCAGAACTGTTAACTCATAGTTGCAATTAACCTCTGAGCGGGTTTGGGGTTCAATGGGGAGTTTACTCAGCCTTGGATTTCAATGGGGAGTTTACTCAGCCTTGGGCCGCCACCAACTCAGCCGCTGGAAGACTTTCCAGGGGTTTGTGGAAAGGCTTTGGTGCCCCCTGGTGGTTGTTTGAGGACTAGAGCATCGGAATTATGAACTGTGAAGGCCCCCTGTTGTTGTCTTCATTGTCTCAAGCCGTGTTTCGCAACCTTGGCAACTTGAAGATGGATCATAGACTCCTAGGACCGGAACGGACGGTGGAGGTCATCTAGTCCAACCCCCCTGCCCAAGACAAGAGACCTTATATCATCCTGGAGAAATGGCTGTCCAATCTCTTCTTTGAAAGCCTTCAGCAACGGAGCCCCCGCCACTTCTGGAGTGAAGCCGTTCCCCGGATGAATCGTTCTCACGGCCAGGAAATTCCGCTTTAGCTCCAGATTGGGTCTCCCACTGACAACTCTCCGCCCGTTGCTTCTTGGGGCTTTGCTTCCTCAGGTGGAGAATAGCTGGACCTGATGCCCCCCTTCAAGGGTTGGAAAATGCTATTGGGTCGCCCTCAGTCCTTCTCCTCATTAGGCGAGGCCAGGGATGCCCAACTCAGCTTCACTGAGGGCCGCGTCACAGTTGTGTTTGGCCACAGGGTGGGCGTGGCTGGGGTGGGCCCAGCCACTCATGTCGGGGGGCACCTGTCAGTCTGTGCTCCATTCAAAATCCAAGAAAGAAATACTTAAGACTCCATAGATTAGAGGAAAGAAATCTCTGACTGAAAATTGAAGTGGCAGCTTCAGGTAAAATTCTGAATCTGAGAAATTAGGCGCGCAGATCACTTATACAAAGGGATGGAATTGTTCCCCCCCACCCAAAGTTCCAAAGATTCTTCCAATTAAAAGTTCTGGATATGGTCATGTGGGCATCCTCAGGTGGTGATGAGGCCTCTGTCCGTTGACCTTGGCATATTTTGATAAAGATTTGCAGTTGCGCAGAGAAAAGAAAGGCTAAGCAAGGAATAGAAACTTAAGAGCAAGAATTTATACTCCCCCCCCCATTCTTCATTTATACAACACAAGAATGTAACACCTCCAGCTCTCTTCCCAGACAATTCCCCCCTCCCCACCCTTACTTTATGGCAGCCAAAACATGCAAAGCAGTAGCAGAAGATCTTGAAGGCTGACAGCACCTGTGGTGGCCAAGGGCTCAGGCAGGATTTCCCTCCCTCCCATAGTCTTCCTTCCTTCCTCCCTCCCTCCCTTCCTTCCTTCCTTCCTTCCTTCCTTCTGTCCATCCTCCCTCCCTCCCTCCCATTTTCCTTCCTTCCTTCCTTCCTTCCTTCCTTCCTTCCTTCCTTCCTTCCTTCCTTCCTTCCTTC